AACTCGTAGGAATCAAACTCACTCTGGAGCAGGCGCTTGTAACAGTGAGAGGGAAACTTGTTCTCTTCTCCAGAATCCTCATTCATAACCACAGCTCCACCTTTCAATTCCAGGAGGAAGAACACCCTTCTCTAGGCTTCTCCTGCACCTGCCGTGAGCCAGGGTCATTACCATGACCTTCAGCCACAGTTCGTTCTTCTGGGAGGGTAGCAAATGAGAGATGCAAGTGGGTGCTAAATCCAAGAAGTTACTGTGACAACAAGACTTCTATAGCTTAGAGTCCATCCTTGACATATGGCAATGGTCTTGAGTGCTCTACTGCATATTGTGTATATTGTGAGCATCAACTATGGACACAAACATTTCTGGATTATGAACTTCAGAGCTGTTATCTGTAGAAAGCAAAACATTTTTGTTGTTCTGTTTTTTTGGCGATACTGGAGCTTAACCAGAGCCTTTGCACATGCTAGGCACATGTTCTATACTGAGCTACAGCCCAGTCCTGGTCTACTTTTCTAAATGATCAGTCTGTGTGGAATACCCCAGAACTCTCACTTTTCATTCCTAAATCTTTTAATGAGTGCCTATAACTTACCCCAGGAGGGAATTCAGCTTACTGAGGAGGCAAAGCAAGGCATATTGGTAGCTCACTAATGATGATAGCAGACACTCTACACCTTTCTTCCAAAGGAATTTCCCCCTTTTGAATCCAAGTGGGAAGAAGTGTTGGAGATAGGGGATGGAGGTCTTTAAGTAAAGGAAGTCAATTTCTAAAGCCAAGCCTTTCTATTAGGCAAAGTAGTGTAGCTCAAGAATGTGAGAGTCCTCCAGTAGCGTGGCTGTCATCAAAAAGAGGGACAATAGTGAGCAAGCGAGGTTGAGGATCTGGAGAAATCGGAATTCTCACACGTGGGGCAGGGGGTCGGGGACAGGGATTGTCAGTGGTGCCACTGCTATGAACTGTCTGGCAGTTCCCCGGAGGAATGTGAAGGAGCCGTATGATCCCACTCCTGGGTGTACGTCCAAAGATTAAGAACACATCCACACAGAAGCTTACACATGGGTGTTCAGGGCATCAATATTTATAATAATCAACAAGTGAAGACAATCCAAGTGTCCGTCATCCAAAGGAGGATAAACAAGATGTGGTGTGAAATAACCACAATATAATATTGTAGAATATTCTTCAGCCAAAAAAAAAAAAAAAAAGACACGATGTTCTCATGCATGCCACAACGTGGATGAAAGAAACAGATCCCCCCCCCCCCGCCCAACACACACACACATTGTCGGATTCCATTTACATGAAATGCCCAGAATGGGCAAATTATTCCCCAAAACTTGAGGGGACTAACAAATGAGGAATGATGTCGTGTGGGGTATGTTTTTTTGTTTTTCAGGAAATGAAAATGTTCTAAAATTAAATAATGGTGATGGTCCTACAACTTAATGCCACAAACCACTGAACACTCTTAAAAGGCTAAATTGTGTGGTCTTGGAAATACATCTCAATTTAAAACTTTTTTTAAAGGATAAGTCTTGCCTTTAGAATCCATGCCTTCCCCACTTCAGGAAAAGTATGTGAGGAGTTTGGTCTAAGCTGGAAAGATGCTGAGTTTTCTGGTTGACCAGTGTGGCTACACAGACCTGGAAGAATCCTTAATCCTGCAAAATAGCCAGGAGAGGAAAAGGCCTCAAGTCCTCTCACCCAACAGCAGAGGGCGCCAACTCCGAGTTCTGCTGGTTGCCATCCCAGAAGACAGAAAATGGGAGATTTCCTTGAGGAAAGAATTTCCAGGACCTTAAACCAAAGCAGTGGTTGTCTTAGGGAAGTATCAGTAACCCCCAGATAAATGGAGCACAGTACCTCTGATTCCAGGAGTCTCCGTGCAGCCTCATGGAGGGCTCAGTCACCTGCTGGGTCATTTTTGTCAGTGCCAGGGCAAAAGTTTTTGCTGACTTTAAAAGTTAGAAATTCCCTCCATCCCTGGTGCTGCAAAAAAGAAGAAGAAGAAGAAGAAGAAGAAGAAGAAGAAGAAGAAGAAAAGAAAACCAGTTATCCACCTGGAGTCAAAGTTCGGTTCTACGATCTACTTGCTATAGTAGCACATCCTTATATCCTTTGAGCCTCAGTTTCCTTATTTATAAAATGGTACTAACAAGATGCCACTTCACAGGATGTTTGTGACAGCTAGCTGAGATGACCAGTGAGGGGAAGGTAGAGCACACCACACAGGTGTAAGCAGCGGCATGGTCAGGATTTTATTTTTCCCAGGTAGACGGCTCTGGAACCCAGACACTCCCGCGCAGCTAGTCAGTCTCCCCTCCTGCCTGGGAAGGGCTTGTGCCATGGGAGGGCAGCTTTCCTTGGGCGGTCCAGTCCCACATCCTTGATGGTGCCTTGGAAAGCTCTCGGGTGCGTGTCTGTTGTGGGCCTTCTAGAGCTGTACTCCAGGTTCTCCCCCGGCCTTCCCAGGGCAGGAGCGTCCCTCATCTCTCTCCTTCTCTGTCCACCAGGGACTCAGACCCAGGTGGGCACTCAGACCTGCTCCTGTGCCGTGTGTCCGGGCAGCTTTGCTTGCTGGCGTCGTCTGGGGCTGTGCCACAGACGCATCTTCGATGTCCTTCTGCCTCAGTACTGCCAGGCCATGTCAGGGAGAGGACTCCCAAGCCACGTCACCTTCTACAGGTTCCCGAGCGCGTGCGCGGCTAGAGCCTGGGAAACACTTCCCAGAGCCAGGCTCTGTCCCTTGTTAGCAATCACCTGCGACATCTGGAATTTTGGGCCAGAAGGAACGTCCTGCCCTCCACTTGCCTTCTCTTGGGCTTTGGGAGGCAGGGGCCCTTTCTGACCAGGCCTGTTCCCTGGGATACCCACCCATCTGCACAGAGAGGTGCCATTGCCTTCCTTCTGGAAACTGCTCCAAAGTCATCTCACTCTTCTCTTCTCCATAGAAGCCCTGCCTTCCTCAGAGCACAATCCCTCCCAGCCCTTCATAACGTCCACGCCCTGCCCTACGGGAGCTTTGTGAATAAACGCTCTGGGGGGCCCTTTACCACCTTCCAGGCCTTCACCATAGACGGGCCTGCAGTTTCTTGTCCTGCACAGGAGTTTCCTCTGGAATTTAGTGATAAAAACTGACTGTGACTCACGATCTCCTCCAGGTGATCACAGGACCCCAACCCCTTCAGAGCATGTCAGGCAATTTCGGGGACTGTGAGGGTCAGGTGGGCCCAGGCTGGTCTGCCAATGGCCACGCCCCACAGCCTCACCCACAGTCTCTGCCCCGCTTTTCCTCTTCCACAAACCCACCAAAAGAAATGTCATGGCTGCTATTGGCCCTCAAAAGAAGCCCCCTGTTCATGTCAGGAACAGGCTGAAGGTGCCCACCCCCACATTCTCCCAGTGCTGCCTGGTCATTTGCTTGGGTTGGAAGAGGGATGTCCACCCATGCCCAGCTCTGGGTCCCTCTTGAACAGCCCCATCTGTACTCCACTGAGCAGGCCCTTCTCCTGGGAATTTCAACCCCCTCACCCAGGAGCAAGACCCCATCCTCCATCCTCATCCCCCTCCTCCTTTCAGCACCCCCCCAACCCAGTCCTTCCTCTGTTTATGGATGAGAAACACCATCTCTAACCTAAGAGAAGCTAAGAGATACCAGGGGGTCTGGTGCCTGCATCCAGAAATACTTCACCGCCTAGTGAGCCCCATCCAAGAAGGACCCGCCCACCTCTCACCATGCCCAGTTCCTCCCACGCCTGGTGTGTCCATCCCGGTGCAGCCAGATGGTGCCATGAGTCCTCATGGGGTCAAAAACCAACCAGTGGTACTGAGGGGGACCAGAACATTTCCCTTAAAATGTGCGCAGCTTGCCTGTGAGCTGACAGTACACGAGTAGAAATGAGGATGCGAGGTAAGAAGTGCTGTGCCCAGCAGAGGTTCCAGGAGTGTCAGAACAAGAGAGTACGTGAGTCCACACTGGGGGCCAGTGTAGGTCATAGTGTCCCCAGGACGTGAGCTGAGTCTAAAAGGATCTCGGGATGCTCCACTGCTTAAAATAAAAAGGGGAGAACATTCCAAATTCAGGAAAAGGCAAACAGAAGGCTCAGCATTAAGAAAGGAAGGGGAAGGGGCAGGGCCAGTCTGGCCAGGGTCAGCTGCATAGCCTTAGTTCTGTCCACATGTGGGCAGCTGCTTCCATACTCTGCATTGCCACTAAAGAGTAACGTTGGCTTTGGCTTAAAATACACAGCCACAACCGGGTGCAGTGGCACATGCCTGTCATCCCAGAGACTTGGTGACCTAGGCAGGAGGATCACAAGTTCAAGGCCAGCCTCAGCCACTTAGCAAGACCCTGTCTCAAAATAAAAAATAAAAGGAGTGGGTTTGTAGCTCAGTGGTAAAGTGCCCCTGGGTTCAATCCCCAGAACCGGGAAAAAGAATACACATTCACATGAGACAAGAATCCCCATTTTGTAAGATTTTATCAATTTTATCAATATCTATTTTATCAAAATAGATATTGCATTCTTAAAATGCCTGCCTTGCAGTGACTAGAGGAAGTGTGGATTTTCCTTACCTCCGTAGTGGGATGTGATATGTTGTTTCCTGAGGTTCCTCATCTCTAAAATGAATGAAATGATAGGACCTACCTCATAGGATTGTTGTGAGGCTTGAAGATGACATTGGGTGTGAGATGTCTAGCACAGGGCCTGGCACACTGGGCCTCAACCGCCCTCGTCACCTGCTCCCCTCCTGGGCAGCTGTTGTCCCAGACCAGCTTATCCTTGGGTCCCAGGGGTCTCGCAATAGGGTGTCTTGGAAGGGGTGGGGGGAATAAGCGTTCTTTTAAGAGAAGATCAAGAGGGTCCCCATATATCTGTGATGGGTCATCTGTCCACCCATCCTCAGGGAAGGAACCCCATTGTGGCCATTTCCTCCTGCTGCAGACACTGGGAAGCCCTCTTCCCAAACCCCCACTACCTGCTTTGCTTTCCAGATTTTCAAGAAAACGCTCATCTCGGCATTACTCCCGAGCTCCAAGCCCTTGGGTCTGTTGCTGTGGCTCTGGGGGCCCTGGGAGCTGCCTACTACATCATTGAATCCCTGTGAACAAGCCCCAGCCCAAGGTCCGGCAGGTATGAAGAGCCCCTGTCCCTTCTGTGAATGGACGTGTCTGCAGGTGGACATGTCCCCCACCTCTCAGGGAAAGCTTGAGAGTGAGTGACTCATTTCTGGCCTCAGGGTGAGCTGGCATGGCTCTCGGGAAGCCCTGGATACCCTCAGATCATGACAAGACCATTGTTACGATCATCAAAACAACCGGGCATGGTGGTGCACGCCTGTGTCCCAGCAGTTTGGGGGAGACTAAGGCAAAAGGAGACTGAGGCGACTATATTGCAGGATCCTCTGGGGCCGGGAGCATGCCTTCCACAGCCACTGTCCGTCCATCCTCCCCTGTCTAGAGGGCTCCCTAGGAGCAGAGCCTGAGACGAGGACTGGGGTGAAGGTTGCTTGCTGCCGGGAGAGGGCAGTGAGGGGGCCAGAAAGGGCAGAGAAGGTGCTGAGCCCGGAGAGGTGAGGCCCCAGCCAGACCCAGGCAGCACCGACCAGGAACTACACCACAGAGCTGCACCTCTGGTGCCCCTGTGTCCGTCAGTCTAGAGGGCAGGAGGGCAGGAGCGTGTCTTTTGTGGAAAAGGCAGCTCCCTTTTGGCTGAGGGCAATCCCTGGAAAAGGGGGCAGCTCTTTAACAGCCCAAATTCCCAATTCTCAGCTCCAGAGGCACCAGCCCAGAAAAGGGGCTGGGTGAGGCACCAAGAGCATCCACAGTGATGCCCGTGGCCAGATTCCTGGGAGGTGACAGTGCAGGGATCATGAGAGGCATTTCAGCCCACCCCCAGGCTTCCACTGCTCAGAGAGTGGACAGGTAATGGCCATAGTCGTGCATGATGTTGGGAGTATATGCTCAAGACATCTCAGAGCCAAGGAGATAAAGCCCAGTGGGAGCTCAGCATCCTCTCAAGGGCTCTGCTACCTGTCCCAGGGACATTCATGGAATAGTATTAGAAGCACCTTAAGCTTTAGGAAATACCAGGTTGAGTCTCGGTTTCCTCATCAGTAGGTAGGGAGAGCATCGGTGCCCTCTTCTTGAGTTTGTTGGAAGGGATGCAGTGCTGAGGCACAGAACTGGGGGCTGGAGGGCCTTGTACTGCTGCCAACACGGTGGTTGGAAAGGTGCTGAGTTTGAAGTTGGAGCTAGGAGCCTCCCGTTTTGCCTGCCTTGCCTGAAAGCTGGGTGTCAGGGGCATGTTCTTAACCCTCTGACAGGCAGTGTCATCCCCCGTGGGGAGAATAACTGCCCTCTTCCTCTAAGGCGATGTGGGGGGGTTCACTGGGGGAAGTACCTGGGCCAGGGCTGTGGCCAGGGGTAGTAGGTTAGTGGCACTGGCCTTGGTGACAAGGTCCACCAGTATTCCTGCAGACTGAATCCAGTCTTCACTACAACCCCCAACTGTATGCGTGTTGTGGGGTTCAGGTATGCTGGGGGCTTGGATTGGAAGGTCATTGCTGTTGTCACTCTTGGACCCAAGAGTTTAATCTGTGCAGTGTCTCAGTTTCACTCAGCCCTGCCTCTTCTGCCCCCAGCAGTGACTCCTCTTTCTCCTTAGGTCCGTTCTCATTAGCCCAGGGGTGGCCACAGGTCCTTGCCTGGATTCAGGGTTAGAGTGTGGCTTTCTGGAGGTCAGATGACATAACCCAGGGGACAGATGCTAGTGCAACTGGAGAGGAAAAACTGTGCTACTAATCTGACCCCACATGAATCACAGGAGACAGGGGCCTTTCCAGCATGGGTGGAGCCCAGGCCTGGTGATTCCGATGATGCAGCCTTTCCCCATGTAACATGCGGCTTTTGCCAAATTGCTGGTCCTAATGACAGCAGGGACACCAGCAATAGGTCTCAATGCTGACCAGCCTCCAGCTGCTTGAGATGTGTTTAATGGAGCTCAGCAGGCCCGGTGTCTTCCAGGGCCCCTCTGCCAGAGTCCAGGCTGCAGGGTCAGCTCCCCTGTTATTGAGGGATGCTATGAATCTCAGGGTCGGAGGAAAGCACCACAGCCAGGGGCAGCAGAGGCCTTTGAAGAGCCCAGAAGTTTGTAATTAAGAACCAAGGGATTGAATTATAGTAACTAGATTAACCCAATCTAGATCTACCAACCCAGGCTGGGCTTGGGTTGCCTCCCCCAACCAGGCACAGGAGGAATGAGCATCCAAAACAGTATATACATAGCCGGTCACAATGGTGCCTACTTGTAAATCCCAGTGGCTCTGGAGGCTGAGGCAGGAGGATCACAAGTTCAAAGCCAGCCTCAGCAATTTAGGGAGGCCCTAAGCAACATAGTGAGACCCTTCTCTAAATAAAATACAAAAAGGACTCTAGATGTGGCTCAGTGGTTAAGTACTCCTGGGTTCAATCCCCAGCACTCCTTCCCCCACAAAAAAAAAAAAAAAAAAAGAGAGAGAAAGAAAACAAAATGGCACCTGCTGGCCAGGGAGAAATGAGGTGGGGGTTGGGGAGAGGGGGCAGCTCAAAACTCCCACCGCCACGGGCGAGAGGTTTGTAGCTGTGCTGCGGATGTGTCTGCAAGAGGACTGGATGGGCAGGTCTCGCTGATTTAACCAGTGAAAGTCACCCCATAGGCCAGGTGGAAGGACTGGGGTGCACTGTGGGGTACCCCGAGTCTTTCTGAGCTTTGAGGCTTAGCTCTTAGTCCCAAAGGAAGGGAAACAGGGAGTTTGGTGTCCTCCTCTGTCCAGAGAGTTGAAGAACCATCTGATGACAGTAGCAAAGCTGCCTCCCTCTTTGAGGAAAGATGCTTCTAGAATTTTCTTTCCTAAATCTTGGTGAACCTTTCGATCCATACCTTCCTCGGAGGATGGTGAAGCATTACAGACAAGGGGCTCCCTTCCTGCTCCTGTGCGTCCCTGAATGTGGTGAGCCCAGCACCCTGGCCTAGTTGTGGGGGCCCTCGAGGAAGGAGGGGGAGACAGCACATGGTGACACTGAGTCAGGTCCAGTAGATGCCAGGAGCTCTGTGAAAGTGTCACAGCCTCAGGGAAGACGCCGTCTCCAAGTGGCTCTTGTGGGCTGAAAGGACACACCATCATGAATGGAAGAAATTGAAATCCTGAATAACGTATTTTTCCATGAAAGCATCTTAGCTGCTCAGCCCTCACCCCCGAGAGTGTAGAACTGCAGAGGCACCAGATTCCCGCTCACAGAGAACTGGGAATGGTCTGAGCCAACGGCTCTGTCCTTATTATTATTTTTTTTCTTACAGATCCAGTTTCCATCAAAGGATCTCACTTGTCACCAAAAAGAGCAAAAAAGAAAAAAAAAAGGGGAAAAATGATCTTGTGTCTTTAGTCTGTTTTATTCAGAGATACAAATGGGCAGGGAGGTAAGTGCGGGGGCCTTGGGGACTTTCTGAGCCACATGTAAACCACAGGCCCAGGTGGAGCACTTCCTCTGTGCACACACAACAAACTGTTTGAGCTGTTCCCACTCAAGGAGCAGGAATTATAAAGCCTGTGTAACCCGCCAGCTGCACTTCCACTGGTGGGAATCCAGCAGCGGGCATGGAGGAACGAACGGGCACATTTCCAGGCCTTCAGGACAGAGGCCCTGGCCCCGCAGTGCGCTTTCTAGGCAATGGCTGCCCTGCGATGGGGGCAGGCCACCAGCTACCTTGTGGTTAGTCCTGGCCAGTGCCCAGGGGCTGCCACATCTAGCTCCTGAGCAGCCAGGTAGAAATCTCAGTTCAGCATGATCTTAGGAAAGGGGACATCAACAGAGAAGGGAGAACGGTCATTCCTGGGTTTAGTGGCCACTGGGGCCACCTTGGAAGGTGGTGGACTACAATGACAAAGTAACCCAACCCCAGGAGGAAAGATGGAACCTTGGTACACCCACTGGTGGGAGACTGCTGGGAGGAAGGGGGCTAATTCCCCTGCACTTTTGTACTCTGGCAAGGAACCCCCAACCCCACCCCAGGCACAGAAGTGCAATCAAGGGAAGGTGGGATAGAGACAGGATAAGGACAACCCTGAAGGCCATGCCCAGGGGACCTGGGCTTCTCTAAGAATTGGCCAAGGGGGCTGTTGGGACAGCCCCTTGCGGAAGCAGAGACCAGTCTGCCTGCAAAGGCCTGGGCAGGGCTGGTGCAGGAACCCCAGAGCCCCTCCACCACGCCCTAACCCCACGATTTCCTTTCCGAATTTGGCGCTAGCAGGTTGGGAGGGGGTACCCCTGGTGGACAGCCGCCTTCTCTGAGAAGCCAGGCTCCCAAGGAAGAAGGCTGAGATCCAGGAGGGTCCGGTCCTGTCTGTCCTTCCCAGCAGGCCAGGATGAAGAGGGCCGTGGGCATCAGAGGCCCAGTGACTGTTGTTTTTGGACTGTGGCTCCTCTGAGTACAGACACTTAACTCCATTTCCTGGTATATTAATCAGGTCCCCTTTTGTTGTACATGACAACATAACTCAAAGTGGCCCAACCTGTAAAAGAAGAGAGAGGCTTCAAATGCGGCTTGCTCCAGGGGCATAGGGCTGTTTCCCCTCCACACACACCCCCCACACAGCCACCCTGCCCCACCCTCTCTCTGTTCCTTGGCAGACAGTTCCATGCCCATCACAGCAGTAACAGCCCCCCAGCCTCCCAAGGTCAAGCCTAGCAGGGAGGACATACTGGCCCAATCCCCTGCAGCAAAAGGCTTCGCAGGTCCTGCATCCCTCCTGGAACTGGTGGTCCCACCCTGGGAAATGCAGTGCACTGACTGACCAGGCCAGGGCTGCAAGGCCACCTTTGGCATTGAGAGTAAATTTCATGGAAAATCTGAGAGCTGAGAGCAAGGTAGGAGGCGTTTCAAAAGAGCCATGTGTAACCTGTGGCGAGAAGAAATGGGAACAGAGGTTGTGCAGGGGCTTGCCGGTTGCTCACCCCTTCCTGTCCACCACCACCACCATGTCACCAGGATGAATGTCTGAGTGGCCTGGAGCAAGAGCTCATGGCTATCTTGGGCTGCAACCCCCTGGCAGTTAGATTCTCTGGGCAATGGTGACCTGGGCAGCTTCACACTCCTACCCAGGGAAATGTGGGGCAGTACTGTTGGCACAGTGACTTGGGGGATCAGGGGAGCTGTTAGCACTGAAGGCCAAGAATGCAATGTACAGAAAGTCTATAATCATGATCCTGCCCAGGAGGCCCAAGGCATCATTAACCATCACTGCCCTGGGACTCATCTGTGGACACTCCTGCACCGGCCTTGCACCAGGCTCAGTGGCTCGTCATGGACTGCAGGGATCTCTCCTGAAAGTGTGCAGGCAAAATGACCCCATGCCAACAGTCCCCCTCTTTCTTCCTGCCGTGCGCAGGTCACCTGCCCACTCTGCTGTCAGGTCCTGGAGGCAGGGGCCAGGGCCTTTTCCTCTCTTGGCTCCTTCCCAGATCAAAAGAGAATCCCAGGAATAAGCCTTTGCCCTTGAGGGCGTTTTGGATAAACTGAGATTTGGGTTGGGTCATTGTATTCAGGGTGGTTTATAAATATGATCATTGGATTGGACTATATTAATTACTACCAATTTCAAAAAACAGCCCCTTATAAGTGCTTTTGAAAGAGAAGTTTAAAGCTGGAGAGAAGAGTAGCCAGTTATCAAATACGGTGCAGTAACCAAGGCTGCTGTGGCTGAGAGTTGGGGACAGCTGGTGGAGGCTGGGCCTGCAAGTCGAGCATCTTCACCAGGTTGGGCTCAGACCCTGGCTCTGCACATGGTCTCTGGATCAGATTGGTCAGGTCTGCCCCACTGCAGAGACCTCTTCAAGGGTGGAAGAAGGTCACAGGATGGGGATACAAGGAGCAAAGGGTGGAAGCAATTCCAAGAAGCCCCCTCCTCCTGCAGCTGCCTGCCTGATCCACCCAGCTCACTGTGCCAGGGGCACAGGACCATCTAAGAGGTCCTTTGCCTTATGGATCCAACTCTGGGCTCCATCCTTTCCACCTGCACCCCAAAGCACAGCCACTCTCCCACTGGCTGTGATTCCCAGTACACCAGCCATGTCTGCATGACAGGGGAATGGAGTAACCTGGACTCAGGGAACTGAACTGCTACAGAGAGATAGTGCTAAGACCCAGGAGTACAGCCCACTTCCCCTATGGGGGCTCATGCTATGTGCCTAGGGCAGGAAACCAGACCTGAGGTCACCGATAATCCATCAAGATGGGACAGCTGTAGCTGCTGTTACAGGTTCTGGCTTCACTGGGGGTCTCACAAAGACCTCTGTCCCCACCCAGCACCTTCTCTGTGCATGCAGTGTGTCACCACACCTCATATACCATCACCAAGAGTCAGAGCAGGGGTTTGATGTGTATGTGAGTAGCACTGGGGTTGGAACTGCTCCACCACTCCACCACTGAGCAGCCCCAGAGCAGGGACTTGAGTTGGCACAATGCCCTTGCCATTGTTCCAAGAAGCATTTCTGGCCCATGTCAAGTGGAACCAAGCCAGGAGCTGGCACAGCATAGGACCCAGGAGCCCTGAGGTGACTTCATTCAAGGGGTGTGGCATCATTGACTGCCACTGAGGAAAGTGCCCGAGAAAGAGGGCCAGGTTGGTGCCAGCTGCAGGGCTGAGCAGGAGTTCAAGCTGGGATTCCTCCAGGAGAGGTGGGGGTGGAGTGTCAGGAGGAGAGTTCAGTCTGGAGTGATGGGTCTCAGGTAAGAGTCCATAAGACAGGTGAGCAGAAATGCCCACTTACCTTCCCCCGGAGTCGGGACAAAGGGTCTCCCAGCTCCATGAAGAAACTGAACCCGAGAAGCTGTGTCCTCCTTTAAATCTCTCTCCTCCTCTCCCCTCTATTTTTTCTCCCTCTCTCAGCTGCCACCACCAGTGGTACAGAGCAAACTGCTGGTGTGCGTTCTGGAGGACCTGGTCACACCGGGGCAGTGGTGTTAGGATCACAGTCTGCTGTGGATGGTACCGGGTTTCCTTGCTTTACCTGATGGGGTGCTACTCCCCAGGGGTGGTGGCAGCGCTTCCAAGGGGCAGATGAGTCAGCGTCAAGGACTCAGTGTGTGGAAGATCCCAGAGCCTCTCTACCTGGACAGCGGTGCACAGGAGAAGCTAGGTAGCCGATTGTTTTGTGCCTTTGGTAATCGTGTTTCCTATTATTTGGAGACATGGCTTCCTCTGTGGGAATAGGCAGAGGAGAGTCATTTTGTGGTGGAATTAGGAATTGATTTAATTTCAGAAACTTCCAAGTTCTTTGCCCCTCTCCCTCCATCTCACTCACTCAGCGAAGCCACGACCTTGCTTAAATCCGGCACTCTGCCTCCTGCCCACTGGATCTGTGCAGCTGAACTTGAGGAGGCTCAGAGCAAGTTTTCATTTTGTGGGTAAAGTACCGAGGAATGGAATGTCTGGGTTTAACTTGATAAGAAAGTGCCACGCTGCTCTTCAAAGAGGTCGCACCTCCCCACCACAACAAGAGCCTGACCATTCAAAACAGAAACTGTGTTACTCCTTTGTCGAGGTGGGGGGGGGGAGACTCTACTGATCCAATGACAGGACATGTTGTTGTATTAAGGAATTACGATTCATTTTTAGGTGGGAAAGTGATTTTATGGCTAGGTTTAAAAGGAAGGCCCCATCATTTAGAAATGTGTGGAAATACTTGTGGTTGAAATACTGGAGGGTCAGGAGGTGGGAGATGAGAATCAGAGGCAGACTGGGCTCGGAGCCGATCCTTGTGGAAGGCAGGTGACAGACGTGTGCTGGGCTCATCATCCTCTTCACTGACGAGGTTTGGCACCTCCAAAATGCCACTCTGGCATAACGATTGTTTTAAGCAGAAAGCCATTGAGGAAAAGGTCGTCACAGGACAAGCTCTCTGCCCTCTCCCATCCACCTGCAAACAGAACATCAGTTCCTCTTATGAAGAGCCCCACCCGACCTCCTGCACCAGGAAGGGAGAACAACTGCACCCTGGGCTCAGATGGCATGAGAAAGAGTCCACACAGACAAACCTCACCAACTGCCCTTATCTACCACCGGCGTCCCACCTGTGTGCCCACCCAGTTAGCCACCTCTTGTCACTCCTCTACAAAATTCTTGTTCTTGGCTAAGATTCTATGTTAACCTCTGAGTTGCCCCTCCCTGAGTCCCCATGTGTACCTGATGCACTCATTCATCAACTTCTGCTTTTCTCTTGCTAATCTGCCTTTCGTCAGTCAATCTGCCAGGCACAGCCAGTGAAACCAAGATGGGTAAAGGGATATTTTTTTCCTTCCTATTATGATCTGAATCTTTGTGTCCCCTGCCCCAAATTCATATGTCGAATCCTAAGCCAATCCCCAGGGTG